AGGGGAGGGAGGGGCACACCTCATCAACAAGGTACCTGCATAATGAACATTTGTATACCTCACCCTGAATTGTACCCCACATCTTTAAAATAAAAAAAATTAATAAAATGAGGCTTTTAACAGATTCTTTGAATCAAATAAATAAATAAATAAACTGAGCTAAACATCAGTGAGTTCTTTCAGTATGCTGCAATGATAATTAAGTAGCTAAATATTTACTAATATTATATACTTTTAAGGTCAGATTACTAGTCCCAATTAGTCTTCGCAGATGGGCAAACTGAGTCCCCAAATGATAACTTGCTCAAATATGCAAGTTCAGTCAGTGGGAAAGACTAAGGCCTGGGTATAAAACCCCCAGACCAATGTTTATTATGCTATTTCTACTGCTTATTTCAGCTGTTTAATGGAAAATATAAAGAAATATTTTTAAAAGCTCTATCTTTATTTTTTCTTGACAAATATGATTTAATAAAGATGCATTGTTAAAACACATATTCTGATAACTTTTCACTTGAAAAAGAACATAGGTGAATGCTTTCTAAATTTGTATGACATCTTGAAAGCAAGTACCTGTAGCAATTTGACCAATTAACTGAAAGATAACATGCCTGTAATCCCAGCACTATGGAGGCTGAGCCCAGGATTTTGAGACCAGTCTGGGCAACACAGTGAGACCTTGTCTCTACAAAAATAAAAAAAATTAGCCGGGTATAGTAGCACATGCCTGTAGTCCCAGTTACCTGAGCCCAGAGGGTCTGGGCTGCCGTGAGTCGTTATCATTGTGATCGTGCCACTGCACTCCAGTCTCGGTGTCAGATTGATACTCTGACTTAAAAATAAATAAATATTTTTTAAAAATAAAGATATGAGTCTCTTCCTTCAGACTGTAATCTAGAGCCTTGTTCCTCAAAGTGTTGTTCACTAATCAACAGAATCAGCATTACCTGAAGCTTGTTGGGAGTGAAGAGTTTCAGTCCCTACTAGATCTACTGAATTAGAATTTGCATTTTATCAAGATCCCCAGGTAACTAGTATACACAGTATAGATCGAAAAGCACTGCTCTATCAGATTTATTCCCTGTAGTTATTAATGATCGTCTCCCTCACAGTTGTCTGGAAATATACCATGATGAAACTAGAGGTTGGTTTCAAGAAGCACATTCATGATTTCTGAAACATGAACAAATGCTATTAAAAGCACTGGGCCAAATCGCCTCACACTTTCTAGGGTAGCCACAAGAAAAAAGATAATTACAAGTGTTGGCAAGGACAACAAATGTTGGCAACAAACTCCAAACTGGAGTTTGTCCATGCCCTTAAGTTGTTGGTGAGAACGTAAAACGGTGCAGCTGCTTTGGAAAACAGTCTGGTGGTTCCTTAAAATGATAAACATAAACCATATGTTTATCTAGTTATATACCTAAGATAAATGAAAATATATGGCAGGAAGTAAAAAAAGGCATAGGACAGAACTCTGGGAAACACTACAGGAAGCAAGCCTGGAAATTATATTGGGACGTAGGAAGCAAGAAAACCGTGGCATCACAGAAGCCAAAGGAGTATCATGTTTTGAGAAGAAATGCAAGGTCCATGACCTCAAATATTGCTGAGAGATCAAGTAAAATAAGGTTGAAACACATCCACCTAACTTAGCAGCATGGGAGTAGATGGTGACTTGGAGGATATTCACTGTAGTATTATTTATTATCACACCAAATCTTATAAACAGATTTTCATCAGTAGGACTTTTAAATAAATGGTGACATATTCATACTATGCAGCAGTTTAAGGGAATGAGGTAGGTTTATAAGTACTGATAAGGAAAGGCGCTGAATGGTCTATTATGTTCTTATGTGTGTTGTTTCTGGAAGGATACACAAGAAACTGTTTGTGGTGGAGTAGGATTAAGAGTAGAAGAGGCAGAGAAATCTTTATCCTTTCCATTACTTTCTGGATGAATCTTTAAATCCTGTCTGTGTAGTACCTTTGCAATAAGTTTAAAAAGAAAAACAGCTTGGATGCACAGGGAATGAGAAATTAAGGCTGACAGCTAAAGAGAGTTGTGGAATTCAAGATTTTAAGAATTTTCTTCAGATATAATATACATAAACACATTTCAATACTAATGAGAATGAGCTGGTAGGAGGAGGCTGAAGATGCAGAGGGCTGGAGAGGACTGCATGCGAAGCACAGGAAAGGAAGACAGACACCTCTTTTTTGCTAACAAGGGGGAGGAAAGGACAGATTATTTCCTGTAAACAGGTTTTAACTTATTCCAATATAGGCAATG